ATGATGTCGGGGAACGGGGCCGGAGGGGAGGGACAGGGGCAGCAGCCGTGGCGGTCCTCCTTCGCGACGCGGGGACGCGACCCCGCAAGGCCGCCCGCACCGGCGCGAGCGCAGCGCCCGATCACTGATGGCCCGCTGGAGGCCCTCGCGGGGGTCATCCACCAGGCGCTGAGCCCAACCGCCGAAGAAGAGGTGCCGACGAACGAAGGGACGCCGGTGTTGGGCTCGTCAGGCTCCGTCATCGACCGAATCGCAAGGATTCTGGTTAACCCAAGCTGTGGGTTGCTTCAGTACCGGAAAAGTTCAGGTGACGAGGCATGCCCTCAGAACAGAGAAAAAAGGCAAGGTAACGGATGCAAGGAATCCTCTCTTATGGGAAGCTTTGAGCCAGCAGTTCTGAGTGATCGTGCGGGCGAAGCCAACGATTCAGAAGCTGAATTTTTGAAACAAAGGAAGATGCTGGAGGCCATTTTGCGCCAGGGCTGCTATCGCCCGTTTTCACGTAACATTCGTCCAAGCAGTTCCTCCGTCGTGAATACTGAAGATATCAATTCTGGTAGCTATGAGCAAAACACTACTGAAATATGGAAAGGTCACAGTTATCTTCAGACAAGGTTGCCAGATGCCGCAATTGTTCAGTTACCCTTGTCGGCGTTTCAGAATTCCGTGGCTTCACTCCAACACACAACAAAGGGTAGTGAGAAGGATAATGATCAAAATCTAAACATGTGGGATGTGTGTCGATTGGCTGGTGGTGTTGAGCCATACGTCAACTTTGCCGTTGGTACCCCACTCGAGGGGTGTAATGGAAATGGAAATCGCGTCCATAAAGAAGGACAGCCTATAATAAAGGAAGGGAACATATCCCCTTTCGCATTTATCACATGTCTCCTGCGTATCGACACGCAGGTGAAGCGGGCAGGCGCAGTCACCCCCACTGAGGAGCGACGGCTCCCTTTATCTGGTCAGAATGCAGGCGGTGTGGGGAAGTCCCCTTCCGAGAGGCAGCCCTCCATGGCCGAGCCATGGCGTTTGGGGATTGCGCTTGATCCGGATGTCCCCGTTATCGTGCGCACCGTTTCGGAGTCGGGAGCTCCACCAACCCAACCAAACACTGTCGGCGACGCAGCCGCGCATGAGCCAACGTTTCTTGGACGAATTGATGCGGAGACGTACCTCATCCCCCAACGTGAGCTACTCATCCAACTTTTCGTGCCACCACGAACTCAGAGTTTGTGCTTAGCGCATAACCAAGATCGTGTGCAACGCCAGATTCGCATGGGGCATGCATCGACGCCCTCAGCCCTGGAGATGGACCGTGTCGGAGGATATGCCGCGGTGGGTAGCTCCACCAACAGGGCTCGAGAACCGGCGTGGATTGCGGACAGCCGCCTCACCTACGGCCGTCTCGTCCACGGACGGTATCACAATGCGAATGCCGCCATGGAAGCGGCCGGATTGGCGGCATCAAGCGATCCTACCGAGAGGCGTGGGTTGGGCGGCAACAGCAAAGCAGTGGACAGGAAACTCACCAAGGCGTCTGGTGCACATCTGCGTCTCACTTGCCATGAGGTACGAGCATTGCCAGGGGATGTTCTCTTCATCCCCAGAGGTTGGGCCTACACGGTGAAGCGGATTATTGGCTCTGCTTTACTTGACAAATCGCATCGGGATAATGCCGATCTGCAGTCAGGGACCGTTCCCAGGGCGAAGACTATTTACAGCAACAAATTCCACAATGTGATGCCTTCTTCAGAATGGACAAGGGGGGTTGCAGCTTCACAAAAAAAAGACCCTTCCGCCAGTACAGTGGTGGATGCATCGAGTGAAGGGGAAAAGAATGGTGATATCGTCCGGAATGGCACCACAGAGGGTGAAAATCCTCTCACTGTGAGCAGCGTCGAGTTGGATGCCTTTTGCTTACTCTACAAACCGTACCCCGAGCTTTCTGCTATGCAGGCTCATGTGTATGTGCCAGCCAATTATACCCACCGTGGCGTGGAAGAATTTTATGACAAAGGTGGAAATCCTACCTACTACAAGTATGAGTGAGAATCCACGCATCATAAATGACTTCTCATGCAGGGAGAAAAAAATTAAACACGCCAACTGGTACCTATGGTTTCGCGTCTGATTTGTATGCAGAGGAAATTCATATAAATATGAGAAGGGAAATACGTTCACACTTTTTTTACCCGTCAAAGGAGAAATCTAAGAAACGCTGTGAATCAAGATATAGAATATATGCTTTCATTTATTTCTCCAACTCCTCCGTTGATGGATAGATTCATTGTTGTTTTTGTATTAGATATCATTGTCAGGTATATATTTTCATTCGTAATACTGTTGGGATTTCTTAATTGGAAACATACAAAAACAAACTCAAGAAGTCTTTCCAGCCCGTGAATATATTTATAAGAACTTATGCTAAGGATAAGCAACACCATTGAAGAAGCGGTAACTTACGCCGGAACTTTTGAATTTCCGTTACTCATTGTCGTACACACTACTGTATCAAAGCATGCAGACCATGCCCCAGGAGATGCACCTAGAGTAGTGCATAGCTCTTCCCCATCAAGCTCACCTGTACCAAATGACGACCCTACTATTCCTACGCAGGACGCTGAACACACTCCCGACAATTGCGGCGTAGATGACGATGCCGACCAAAACTGCACGCTTGATGCGTTCCTCAAGACCATGGGAAAGACAGCTAGTTGGGACTTTCCCCTTGGCAAGCTGAAAGGTGGCCTAGAGCAACGCGAAGCGGTTATGGCGGTGCTCACTGAAGGTCGTCTTGCCGACGCTTGCTTTATACACTTCATTGAAGAAGGAACACCCGCGTACGAGCTCTTTTCTGCGGCCTATGGGGGTTTGGCTCTATCGGGGGGCTCTCCCGCAACCGCGACAGATGGGCTCCTGCGGGTTCACGTTTTTCCGCCCTCACGCCAGGGTTTTCAGCCATTGGTTCTGCATGGCGACCTTCTGACGCCTGCAAAACTCATTGAAACAGTGCGAATCGCCCACCACGTTCGGCCTCAGCTTATTACTAGCATTAAGGACCGCATCCTCGATGAGACTCAGGCCATGAATCAGGAGCTTCAGCGTGCTCAAGCGCAACAGAAGCACCGGGTAGACTTGCAGAGCAGGTCGCTTCTATCAACAGGTATAGCACTCGCTTCGAAGGAGGATCAAACCTCCCATGTAGCAGAGGCATCCCCTAACACGGGACTGAAGAGTGGGGCATTGTCGTCTCGTGATGCAGCCGAGGCAATGGGAAGAATGCACTTTATCCATATTGACGGTCTCCCTGAGGGACGCAAAAAAATGATGCTAACATCCCCCAGTATGACTTTGCGCACGGTATGGTTGGACGTGTCGAAGCAATTGGAAGCTGCTGCAGAAAAAGAATCGTTGGATGGTGCGGCGCGCTTTGCGCCCCTAAAAAATGCGAAAGCAAAATTTTACTTGCAGATTGGCGAGAATGCTACACTTCAGACGTCCTCCGACGAGACCAGGGAAGTGTATACGATTGAAGAGGCCAGTAAGATTATCTTGCAGGATTTTCCGAGCTCCACACGCGTATTCGTAAAATCCCTTGAACTCGCGGGGGCGTGCGATAGTTCGAATGAAAAGGCCAAAGATGTGCAAATGAACAGTAACCATAGTCGTATCCGCCATGACCCCACGAGCAAAAATGAAGAAAAGGCTGCTTCCATGATGACTTGCGACAGCATAGGATGCTGCCGCAAAGCCATTTCTCAGGAAGAAGCTCAGTTCAAGGTGCCAAGAACCGAAGAGGACGAGCAGCAAACTTCAACTGCTGCGGTTCCGGGTGGTTCCCCTCTGGAGCGCTTAAAGGACAGTCCGAACGATGAAAATAGGCAACTTAAAGAAAATAAAGAGGTTGCCTCATCTGTGAGTTACAGCAGCATTGATATTCGCTGTAGTCTCGCAGATGGGCGTACCGAGACGATATCAGGCTTGAATCCTGAGGTGGATACTCTGAATACATGTGTGCGTCCAGCTATCGTGCGGCAACTCGGCCACAATAACTTCATCTTTGCTCGGCCATATCCCCCTAAGCGATTCAGCGTTCAAGAAGATGAGCTGCGTCCTCTTTCACAAATTGACCTGACGGTCTCATCAACGCTACGTGTGATTCCGTCCTCAGTCGGTCAGAATCACCAACCCGCTCAGATAAAAAATTCCGAACGAGAGACCGGCTCTTCCCATTTCACCATACCCACGAGCGTGGCTACGGCGTCAAGTGGATTTTTTAACCGAATATCTCGTCTATTTCCACGGGGTGATATTGCAAGTCGGCACGCGAGTCCATCAGCTGCGGGCCCATCAACGCACACCAACACCCATGTCGCCTCCAGAGAACCCTTTGCCCGACATCAAGGAAGCACCTCCGGTGGATTTCAGAGTATGAGCAATATTCTCGCAGCACAGGAAGAAAAAGAGCGCCAAATGGCCCTAGAGCAGCTTCAGATGGCGCAGCGAGCCCAACTCATGGGATTTCCCTCTTCCCTTGGCTCACGCCACTCAGACCCGGTCGACCAGAAAAAGAAGGCTGAAAAGGGTAATAAACCCATGAATCATTACTTTGGGGGTGACTCTACCGAAATGATAGCGCCGCCTATGAATGATGAGCGCAGTCCGGCAGAAAGTGGGAACGAAGAAATACAGCACAGCAGTGGGAGTGGGCAAGCAAAGCCAAGAACGCACATCCCATTCTCCGGGGCTGGGCGCAGTCTGGCGGACCAGTCCTCAATACGAGAATCGGAAGACAGAAAATCAAATGAAATGGGCAAAAAAAAATCTTAGATGATAATATCGGATAGGAACAAGTGGTGCTATATTAGTAACACATATTGTAGATGCAAAATAAATAAGAAAGACTCTATTCCCTCATTTTATTGGTGTTTATTTCCTTTGGAAATAATAAGTATACAGAGGGCCTCTGAGAATGGGCAGCGAAAATAGGCTACGGAGAAGAAAAAATGATAAAATAATCACAACAAACGAAAAATTGTATAGAAGGAAATGAATTAATTTGCCTAAAAATTATATGTGTGTACAAGTTCATGCACATACGTGGATAAAGATATGGTAAAATGCGACAGATGAATAGTGTTGTATATAAAGTTCTGAATAGTTGAGGGAAGTTTGAAAAAAAATTTAGCCAAGCTCGTGCTTATCACTTATTCATAGTTAAAAATCAAATAAAAACACAAGTAATACTGGTAAACTCATATTTGTGCATCGATTATGAGTAAATAAAATACGCCACTCTTAAAGACTTCCCACTTATATGACAAATTTTTTTTCAAGGAATATTCTTGCACTATAGAATAGCATATTAGTGATACATATCAGGTTATCGATTCGTTACTACGATGCACTTAATATTATGTGGCAGGGCCTGAAGGCACACACCAAGCAAGAGAAATACAACCGTATATCTGACCGGAAGCAATCGACACCAATCGAGGTGTTGTGCAAGGGTTTGCCACAACAGTTCACAGCGTACATGAACTATGTTCGTTGCCTCCGGTTTGAGGATAACCCAAACTACATCTACCTTCACCGTATCTTTCGTGAACTGTTTGAACAGGAAGGATATCATGTTGACTATGTCTTTGATTGGATCCTGAGACGTTCAACTGGCACCTCTTACAGTAAAACAAATGGTGGCGGTAACAATGCTACCCCAAAAGTTGAGGAGAAGTCGCAACGACAGCCTCAATAGTAAGGCGCTGTGGAAGGCAGAGTACCTCGGTCTGATGAGCACAGGGTGTAGTAATGGACCTGATGACGTTACCAAGCTGGTGATATCAGGACGAAGAGTCATTACAAAAGCTGTACGAGACTCCATGCAGAACCAGGCGTTCTCAGATTCGTTAGCATCTCCAATATTTGTATAGCATTTATGTTGTTATTTCTATTTTATATGTATAACTATGAGATCACATATTCCCGTGTTTTATACATTGTTTCGATGCCGTATACAAGTATTTGCTCTTATTTTTTTTGGCTTTTAACTTGGTGCTCGAAAAGTAAAAGTGTGCGCACCTAGGGGGAACTTATTCTTTCTCATCGGAATAAATTATTACTATTTTCTATCCTGCACGACGCAAAACATTTGATATTGAATCATGTTGATCTTTTAATATCACTTCAGTGCATTACTCATTATATCTTACTAAATACTACTAATGACGTTATTCCTGTTTAACGATAAAAGTGAAACTAGGCCTATACTATACGGGTGGCTTCGCCTTCCGGTTTACGGATATTAGAATAAGTCGGATCTTGAAGTTTACTTAATCAGGATCGTTTGGGAGCCTTACTCTGCCATGCTTTAAGGAGCTAAACGGTGCCTGTTGTTAACTTTCGTTTGCTGCTGTAGAGACAAGCGGGTGTGATTCGCGTGAGTGAGCTGTTTTTCATGTATCGAATTTGATCTCACTTTGGCTTCGTTTCCCCTTTGAATCCTCCATTTTTCATACTTTGTCACTATTAGTTGTGTAAGTGGGAAAGGAAGTTACCGGATAACATCTACTCTTGTATTCCGGTACGCCATCTTGCTTTTGATTGATATCTTAAACATTCTGGACTCACATCGTTCACACTAAGCAAAGTGTTATACGAAAAAAAATAATTACATCAATTACGGAGTAAGCATGAACGTGGAGCTTCGTGTTGGCAATCGTTTCCGAATCGGGCAAAAGATTGGGTCAGGCTCCTTCGGTGAGATTTTCCGCGGTACAAACATCCAGACGGGTGAGGCGGTGGCCATCAAGCTCGAACAGTACAAAACACGGCATCCACAGTTAATCTATGAAGCACGTTTCTATCGCATCCTTAACAGTGGTGGTGGCGCGGTTGGCATCCCGATAGTGTTTTATCATGGCACTGAGGGAGAATTTAATGTGATGGTCATTGAACTTCTCGGTCCCTCTCTCGAAGATCTCTTCAGTTTCTGTGATCGGAGGCTATCCCTAAAAACAACACTGATGCTTGCCGACCAGATGATCAGCCGTATTGAGTTTGTACATAGCAGGAGCATTCTCCATCGAGACATCAAGCCCGACAACTTTCTCATGGGTACCGGTCGTAAAGGTCATCATGTCTACATCATTGATTTTGGGCTAGCTAAAAAATATCGCGACCCACGTACACATCAGCACATCCCATATAAGGAGGGAAAATCCTTGACGGGTACTGCGCGCTATTGTAGCATTAACACTCATATTGGTATCGAACAGAGCCGACGAGATGACCTGGAGGGTATTGGATATATTCTCATATACTTTCTGCGTGGCGCCTTACCGTGGCAGGGCCTGAAGGCACACACCAAGCAAGAGAAATACAACCGTATATCTGACCGGAAGCAATCGACACCAATCGAGCTGTTGTGCAAGGGTTTGCCACAACAGTTCACAGCGTACATGAACTATGTTCGTTGCCTCCGGTTTGAGGATAAGCCGGACTATAACTACTTGAAGCGCGTCTTCCGTGAACTGTTTGTGCAAGAGGGATATCATGTTGACTATGTCTTTGACTGGACTCTGAGACGTATTCATGAAAGTCTCCACGAAGAAGCAAATGGTGGTGGTAATAATGCTACCCCACAAGGTGAGGAGAACTCGCAACGACAGCCGCAACCGCAAGAGGATGCGGAAGGCGGTGCACCTCCGCAAGCTTAAAACGGGTATTTGCCAGTTTCTCTACTTTAAATGCTTTTTATAAGTCCTTTTCGAAGGGAAGGTGATGTCAGAAGATGCTGTAAGAAATATTTCAATGTCTTGCATCATTAGGTAGTGGTAAGGTTATGTACTCATTTTTCCCAAAAATAAGGTAGATGATTAAGGTTTTAACGACTTTACACTGAGTTACTGAGGGGACGTAACCTTTGTCACATGCAAAATCGCCGTAGAATGTCAGCTGGTGATATACTAAAAAAAGAGGGATATAAAAGTTGAACGAGTGCGGTAAATATACAATTTACTCTCAGGGTAGGTTGATAAAGGATAATAAAGATGAATTGCCTTGCATAAGGTAAATATATATAATATATAGAGAGGGATATCTAATTGGTAAAAAAAAACGAGCGGGAGGAATGGAATACGCCGAAACGTACCTCCACATGTAATTCCTTTTCTGGCACGAAGATTATAATTGGGTCCCCCCCCCCCCCCCTCCAAAAAAAAAGGAGAAGGAAAACGCTAAGGTCCTTGAAAATACTACTACCTCTATTTTGGTGCGTAGTCGTCTTTCTTTGCTTTTCTAGTGCTTTACAGTGACATTGAGTAGGAATTTTTTATATATTCAGATTGGGTTATTTTGTATCGAAAAGCATTTGCCTATTACATTCCTCGTAGTCTTCGTCTTGGTTTCTATTTCGGTTTTTAGGCAGTTTGGATTTCTTTTGGTTATAGTTATGCTTTTTTCTAGTCGGAAAAATTGAGGCTCATAGCGCTCTGAGGTTACTTCCTTGCTTCCATTGCAAGACAGCTTCCGGTAAACACTCAAGGTAAAACTAAACATATTCTTTTCATCTATTTGTTTGTTACTCTTTTTTTGTTTTTTTTAAAGGAGGTTGCAATCAAATAAGATATCGAAAAGCCAAAATACGAATTACCGGATACAATTAACCTTTCTGGAAAAAAATAGTTAGAAAGAAAGTAATGAATATCTACTCTTTCCTGTATAAGTCTGTGGCCTCAGGCAATGTCGATAGTAATACCTGTGTGTGCGGGAGATCGTACACACAGGCTACAGAGTTGTTAGCTAAGTAATATGAAAAACTTTCTCATTGATGCAGATAAAAATATCCCCACAAGGGCTATATGTGAATCAGTTGGGGTACTCATATTTCTTGTATAGCATCCCCACCGTAGTGCGTGGTGTATGTCCCACAAAGACACCCCCCCTTGGCCGAATTTTCCATTCCCTTCTTTCCTCCTCCATCCGCTTTCTTAGATTATCCTCAACTAACAACAACCGCAAAAGAAGATAAAGAGAACCCTTGTCGCAAGAGTGCCTTTCAATTTTCTTTACACACACAACCACAACTATAAAGAAGCAAATCACATATATCTATCTATCTATCTATATATATAGATCCATCTTCCGATGATCCAGACAACCCCGATGATGGACTTCCCCGAAAAGCCCCCGATGCCGGATCGTGAGCCCAGCGCAAATGGCGAGACCGAAAGCCTCCGTGCAAGCCTCCCTGAGGTCGAAGGCGATCTCGACCTCGAGCTGGAGCTTCCTGCGAGCCGTTACAAAACCCGTCTTTGTCGAAACTACCTTACGACGGGGCGGTGTGCGTACACGACGCGTTGCCGCTTCGCCCACGGCGCGCATGAGCTGCGGAGCGCGGCCGAAAACCTCCGTGATGGACTCATCAGCGACGCCGCCGTGAAGGCGTTTCAGCGGCGTCGGGCGCGGGAAGGCCGACGGATGGCCCCGCCTTCTTTTGAGGAAGCAACAGGATGGGGCGAAGTGCCTTCTGCTTTCCCACTTGCCCCATCGCTCCCGCCGTCGGCGCTTCCACTTCCTTGTGGGAGGCGATACCGCCATAACCCTTACCTTCCCGCTCTGCTGCACGCGGAGGATCGATTCTGGAGTACGCCAATGGAAGTGGAAGGAATGGAGATGGGAATGGAAATGGGAATGGAGGAAGGGTTCCACGTTCCTTACGCGGAGGTGGACTTAAGCTACAGTGGGGGTTACTTCCCAGGTGAGTTCTACGCTGAAGGGGGGATCGCACCTCCCGTCCAACACGCCCTGTCAGAAGGGATGGATGGGTACGACGACAACCTGCGCGGCACCTCGCCGACGAGGAAGCTCCACTGCGGCTCTGTCAACCTGTACGAAGACGAGCTACGGAATAATACAGATGATTCTGGAGCCGTAAGATGTACTTAGATGCCCATCACTACCAATATATATAATATTTATATAGATATATCAACCGATAGTTTAGTTGTAAGCGAAAGATAAACACGACTAAAAAAAAATACAAATGAAGGTGACAGTAGGAGAAGCGCTTTAAATAAAGGAGTTGTGTGGATATTCCTTTTTTTTTTATGTGACTTCAAATTCGAAAGGGAAAAAGGAAAATTGGACTCAATATAAATATAATATAGTACAATAATGAATTCACTTTGTAACAGGAAACAGTTGCTTTGTTTTTGCTTCTCTTGTTGCTTGTTTTCATTAAGGCGGTGGAAAATGTCCTTTGTCTCCTGTGGGAAGAGGTGACCTGGTACTGCGAACAATATCTGAAACAGGAGGAAATCGCGAACTGGTCACTTCCATGCGAGATTTTTTTTCGGCTTTATGAATCCTTACGAAACAAGTTACTAATTTAACCTTTGCATACTTTGAACTTGTAGAGGATTCAAATTCGAAAAGTCTTCTTATGCATATATCCTTCCTTCCCACGCTCTTAGTTTGGAGACCTATGGGTATATTGTATTGCTTTTACAATCAACGGATATCGGGAAAAATGACAACAGCACGCTGGTTTGAGATTAATGCAAGTGTTAAAGGAAATATTAAAGTAAGTAAATCAGATGCACACTCCTACTCCATACGTTCTTCTCGTTGACCCTGTTAGAATATAGCTTCTCCTTTAGTCTCCTAGATTTGTTTTCTTTTTTTATCAGTGCTTATTTACCCTTTTTATTCGCACTCAAATTGTCCAGACCAACGGGAGCGATAAATGGGATTGCCATTTATCATCCCCTCGGCATGCGTTCGCTTTGGTGGCTAATAATTTCGTTAATTGATTTTTTGTTTTTTATTTTTCTCGCTTTTTCCACCTTACACACACACCTTACCCTCATATTTTCCTTTTTTTATTCTTCCTATTTTGTTAACCCTTTTTTAGCGTTTCATTCTTTGCTTTCCTTACCCTCCAAATATCCCTCTCATTAAAAAAACATTGCATTGTATAATTGAAAAGAATGCTTTGAAGCTTTCGTATTCAGAGAAAATTGGAAATCGAAAGAAATGGCCTTTATGGTAGGAAACTTGTTAAGGCGGATTCCTTGAGTTTTCTCGCTCTCTTTCCCGTATTCGTCCTTGATGTATTTTCGAGCTTTCAAAGTTGGAAAGCAGGGAGTCGGGGATGTGATTGTTGCTATCTTCCCTCTATACATTTTAATCTCCTGTTCTTCATTTTTGCCGCAATATTTGGGAAATTTGCCTTTCGTTTTATGAGTGGCTTGGAGGAAGGGGAAAAATTTTTCCGAATCTAACACTTAGAAAAAGGACCATGTGTAGAGAAAACTCATGCATGGTATAGAAACAAAAAAAAAACTAAAAAAAGTGAACCTTAATATTCTAAGTACACAGATGGAAAAGGTGTAGATGAGGATGTTTTAAAGACTGCAACATCATGATAAAATTCTTTGTCTTTTTTCCTTTTTGTAATGCTATTTTATGTCTTGCTTTTCTGATTTTGCCACCAATATGTTCTTCAAAGCGAAAATAATTCGCATAATGATTTGTCCTTTCAAGCTTCAAAACATCGTTGTAGGCATTTAATGTACTTTCAGCGATAAATATTTTCCATTACTGGAGATACAGAATTTTCTGTCCTTTGTGTACACGAAAAAATAGAAGAAAATTCCCTTTTTTTCTCCACAGCACGACGTTTCATTCCATCCTTTATTGCAATCCACCGTATTCAGAGTAACTTTGTGATAAATATATTTTTTTCACAAAGGTCAAGCGTGTTCTTCCTCATACATGTTTTCCTCATTGCAAAAGGTGGGGGAAAAAATTGTAACTGCATTTTAATAATAAATGCATTGTCGAGGTTAAGGATGGCTTTAGTGGCAAATTATCTGCCTACAGCTCTGGGTAAACAAAGGGTGGGAAAACAAGAGGAAGAATGAATCATTGAGGGAAATAGGTGTCCTTTGTAAAGCGGTACGATAAGTAGAATACTAGTTTCATTTAATACGCGAAAAGGACTTTTCTGTGTGTATGCTTCTCATGTTTTGCCTGAATTGGATCTCTTTTTTTGATTATTTTGTTAGTTTAGCATTTTCTTGTTGCCCACAGATACTATGATAAAATCCTTGTTCGGGGGCTCGTTTCTTTTTGCTGTGTTTTCCCAATTTGGCCCCATTTCTAACGCACAATTTCGACTAAAATTACTCATCCTACACCGCGCGTCAGTTTCAATCGCCCTTATTTTGCTAACTTCTTTTCTCACGTAATGTCCATACACTAATAATAACCTTATGATAAGCGAAAAGGGTAAGAATGGAAACACATACGTTCACAAGATATAGAAAACGTGGTAAAGGAGGAGGACCATACGAGGAAATCCCATGTCTTTCCTTTTGATCCCTATTAACTCTGTTTGATTTTTGCTTCAATAGAGAAAGTAGTTGGGAGGAATGCACATGAAAAAAGGACGTGGAAAAGTGGGAAGGGGTTTTCAAATCCCATGGGGAGACAAATAAACCCACCCAAAAAAGCCTCTCATAAATTATAGTTCTCGAATACTTTATCAGTATCCATTATCTACTGATTTTTAATTTTAATTTTTCCCCCATTCACAATTGAAAAAGTTTTTCTCAATAATGGTAATGGAAAAGGTAGTGTATGATTTCCTAATTTTTCTCCTTGCTGGTTGTCCCTTGATAAATATGGATCACTATCTTTTATTTTATCCAAATTTTTTCATAGAGCCTAATTAACCGAAGCGCAGAGAGGTGACCAGGTATTAGAAAGGAATACCCAATCCAAAAGATCCAGTATAAAGTTCGAAAAACAAAAGAAAGAGGAGTTTCCTGGTGAAGGGTTTGGAGGTAAAATATAAACGCATAACAGTCCTATTTAAAAAAAAATTTCCTATGCGCTCCAAGTTACGTGTGCCCGCAACCCCTGTCGTGGAAGGGATCAGTATCCGTAGCTTATACGACATTGATCACGTGATTCCCCTCGGCAAAGGTTCCTTTTCCGAAGTCGTAGAGGCCCGGCACGTGCCCACAGGAGAGAAGCGTGTGCTTAAGATTCTCAAACGTGAAGAGCTCACCGGCGTCAAGGCGGGGATCGTCACCCATGAGCGCGAAATCTTGCGCCGAACGCGGCATCCTAATATCATCACACTCCATGAAACGATCCGCACCTCGGAACGAATTTATTTCGTCTTGGATCGCATGGACGAGGACCTCTTTGAGTTCATTATACGCAATGGTAAGATCAATGAGACGCTTTCGAGGCGCATTATCTACTCGATTTTGTCTGCGGTGGTATACCTCCACTCGCAGAGTATTGTGCATCGTGATATCAAACCCGAGAACATTCTTATTAATGTGCGGTATCGCCACCATGCTGGGACCTCCCAATCCGACCAGAAAACGGGTGAAAAGGAGGAACTGAAGGATATCAAAGGTATAGATGTGAATCGTATCAACCCCGATCACTTGGATTTGGATGTGAAGTTAACCGACTTCGGTTTTGCGAAGCTGGTGATGGAGTGGGATGTGCGCAACACACCGTGCGGTACGTCATTTTATATTGCCCCAGAGATCATCCGAGGGATTGAGGAACAAGGATCACAACCCCTTTGCACCACCCAGGCCCTCGTCAAGAGCGTTGATGTGTGGTCGGTGGGAGTGGTGATGTACGTCCTTCTTTCCGGATGCCCGCCGTTTTATGGGCAGGTAAAAACAAGCGAAGAGCGCCGTGCACTTTTAAAAAAAATCAACCACGGCGTCCTCTTCAGCTCCAACCTCGGATGGGATAAGATCAGCAACGAGGCAAAGGATTTAATCCTCCGAATGTTAGAGCGGGATAGCTCGGCGCGAATCAGCGCCGCAGAGGCGATACGGCATCCATTCTTCGCGCCGTTACGCTCGGAGGCTTCGGAAGTTTCCGAGGATCTCGTGGCGGCGGCAGGGGGGGGGTTTCATTCCTACGGGCGAGGCTGCGTGGAGCGTCCGATCGGGGGCCCCGATGGCTCCTCGCCGAGGCCTCCACAGACGCCGGTGGAGCCCGCGCGGATGCACGGCGAGCTCAACGCCCTCCACGCCGAAGGGCTCCTCGCGTATGATCAGGAGGGGGATGTTACGGCGTATCGGCGCGAGGTGACGGCAACACGACCGAAGCCCTCCCGTCCCGCGGTGATGAATTCGAAATTAAAAGTCGGCCCATCCGCATTACGAAATTAAACGCGCGTTTGACTTTATGATGTGTGGTATTCTTTCTTTTTCGTTTTGTTTGTTTTCGACTTTTATATTTTAAAGGTGTGGAGAGGTAGGATTTGTGGTACACATGAATCCTATACCAAGATTTAAGAACGCTTATTATAACTCTTATTAGTATTACTATATAAAAGAAAGAAAGGTGCGCATCGAATAAGCTCAATTTGGTGTTTTCACCTGTCGTTTCTATTCTTCCCAAACAAGGTCTTTCACATTGCAATTTGCTCAAACCGAGGCCGCGTCTTCGTTGTTTTCTATAGTTAAAACTCCTTATGGGAGATTTTTTTCTTTTTGCGCTTCGTTATACACATGCATGCACATGTCTACAGCTAAGGACAGTGCCTTTGACACAGTGATAATGTATTGGAAAGGTAATAGTTTCTTTTGGGAGAACAGAGGACTTGGATGTCATGATACAAGACTCCTTTCATTGCCATATTTCAATTTAAATTAGGTTTCTGACGTTTTCAATCACCGCCAAAGTTCTTCATTTGAGAGACGTTCTTTGATCGTGTTGTCAAATGCGAATGCTCCGCATTTTTTTTGTGTGTGTTTTTTACATACGTATCCTCGTTCTGCTCATTTCATCCTCCTCAATTTGGGTTTTGTACAAGGATAGCATTAGAAAAGATCAAAAAGTCCCACCCCTTGAAATATTGCGGTTTGTTAGTGGACACGTTCAGGGATGTCTGGATCCATGCACCGCCTAGCTCGATCCATTGGCTGCCTTGTCAATTCAAGTCTTCTTAGCGTAGGGTGCACCGCCATGAGTCGGCGTTCGGTTTCAATAGGAGTTACCCCTTTTCTACGATTTCCCAGGAAAAGCACGCATCGACATCGTGGGGGAAATACGCATAAAACGCAGGTCCTGAACTCGACGATTTTAGTCGGCGCGCCGCCCAACCCCATCGAGGGGAGGAGGGATGGTGATGTGGCCCTCCCTCCCCTGCGTTGCCCAGGCGGACCGCGGCTTAAGTCGGTCGCTCTGAAACAGCTCTTCAAGGTTCCACACGCGGGGTACCTTGCGAAGTACGACCAACGCTTCATTATCAATCTAAAGCTCACCCATCAGCTCATCTCCAAGCTTGCTCGAACGGCGTTTCGCACGCCGGATAAGTTGTTAATCGAACTCGGGCCTGGGGCAGGGTCGCTAACGCGGAGTCTGCTCACGCGGCCATGCGTTGGGGTTTTTGGGATCGAAATGGATGAACGCTTCAACCCCCACCTCGAGCAAATCCGAATCCTCACCAAGGATAAGTTCAAATGGATTAACGCCGATATGCTGAAGATAAGTGAGTTGGATGCCATAAGGGCACACTTCCCACGGTTTTACCGCATGAACATTCGGAAAAGACCAACAGAGGAAGAGGAGGGGGAGGTGATGAAGGATACGGCAGCCCCGTCTGCTTCACCTTTCCAAGACAACGCCACCAAGGGGTTTGATGATGATCGGCCGAATTCATCGAATTTAGGAATACAGAGCCGTACGGGTGAAAATTGGCGGGAAGGAAGCAAAGATGACGGAGAAGGTGAGGGTGATGACTTCGCGCCACTTCGTAGCCGCAGTCGGGATCTTCTTCTACGGAAACGCCTCCCTCGTTTCGGCTTTGACAAGGACCCCAACGAGGGATTCCAGACGCGCTCCAAACGCGCTCGTTGGGAAAGCGACGAGGGCATCTCCCCAAACCCCGCCCTGGATGTGAGCGATGGCTGGTGGGCTAATGGGGATGCGAAGGTGGAGGTGGTCGCGAACCTGCCGTTTGACATCATCACGGAGCTTTTGATGCGGTATGCGGTAGATTGCTCGCGCAAGGCCGGGCTCTTTGCGTTTGGCCGAGTTCCACTGCACATTTTCACGCAAAAAGAGGTGGCGGATCGCATTGTGGCGCAGCCCGGATCGGTTCACTTTTCCAGGCTCTCCGTGCTCTGTCAGGCATACTTTCACGTGAAGACGGTGCGGGTGTTTCAGGAGTGGACGTATTACCCCCGGACGGAGGTTTTGGGTGCGTTGCTGACGCTGGAGCCCCGCTCCGTGCCCCTCACCGGTGGGGATGCCTTTGACGGCGCCACGCTGATTCATTTTACGAATTTTTTCATGGCCCCCGGGCAACGAGGCGCCTCTGTGCATAAGGCGTTGCGTGGGTTCATGCCGGATGAGGTCGCGCAGCACATCCTGCAGGAATCCCGCATGGACGGCGCCACCGCGGTCTTGGAAGTCTCCGTCGAGGAGCTGGTGAAGATGGCCGTGATGTGGAAGCGCTTCTTGACGGCCTCGCAGCAGAACTCAATGGCGTGAGGAGCTCTAGAAACGGGTTTCGGTAATGAAAAAGAGGTGGGGTGAATGGCCTAGTTGATGAAATCTCAGTGAGCCACCTCAGTCCAGCATAACAATGTCAGTGTTAGCAACGTTTCCTACCAATTAAAAAAAAAGAATGAGGTAGTACGTTCGATGAAATCACAAGCTCGTTGCCTGCTTTTGCAGCTATGTCCCTCCATGCACGGTATAACATCTTCAACAAGCATTTATTTATTTTAAAATGGAAAATACTGTCTCCTAAAGCAGTTTAAGGGCTCAGCAATTCTTTTCTCATAACTAGCGTTTAATAAGAAAACGAAACCTTGAGTACCAAACTTAATAGAGAAAAGTGCCATCCATCCAACCCATACACATCTATGAGACGATCCTTTCGCGATAACTGGGACGCCTCTCGAGATGATCGTCGCCAGCGGTTGCACTTTTCATCGGGTGGCCATGGATCTGACCGTCATGATAGACGCAGGAAAATAAATTATGATTTCTATTGTTCCGACAGTGAAGACGAGAGAGATCGTGGGGGGCGGCGGCACCACGACCGTCGAAAAGATCGCCACGATCGCCGTCCGTACGAGGATTTAAAACAAGAAGGGCGAAAGGATCGCAGGCACCGCGTTGATTCTCATTCCTTCGTTGACGACAGCCATCATCGCCAAGGGCGAAAGCGATCCCGGGGGTATGGTGGCAATGAAAGGGAACGATCTGGTTCCGAGTTGGATTCCAATAGTGGGGACGATAACTACCATCGTTCTTCCAACCCCAACCGACACCCCCGACGTCACCCCAAAGATAAGGTCCCACACAAGTCTCACTGGAGAAATGAGCGAGGCAAAGAAAACGAGGATGATAATATGGGGCGTCGGTCGCGTTTTCGGCGTGAAGGAAGTCCAGGGGATCGTGAGGGGACGTCAGGGCAACGACCCCCCCGGGAACAACCCCTCCAAGGAGTCCCTGTCGAAGATAGAGGGTGGCGAAATGCCCCACCACACGGCATCTCCTCGGGAAAAGGAAATCGATTCCCCAGCCTCGAGCGAACGAACCTCGATCGGGTTGAACCCTCCCTTCTCTCCAGAAGGCGACCTCCTCCTTATGGTGACGTCGTCATCTGCGGCCGAGCCCCTGCCCTTCCGAATGAGGAAGATCCCGGTAGTTTGACCTCTCCACTCGACTCCACCCCTTCCAGCTCCTCCCCTCGTGGCCTCCAGGTGGAAGAGGAGGATCCAACCCCTGGGATGAGCTCCGGGCCGCCACGATCTCTCACGCAAATCATCCTTTACGGTGTGGATCTTTCCGTTACGCCGGATCACCTCTGTTCGATGCTCGGGCAGCTCATGGGGGGGGAACTCCCGTGGAAGGTGCGGCGCCCCGCGCAGGAAATCGCCTCCGTGGTGCGATTTTCCTCCACTCATCCAAAGGAAAGAGCTTGGGAAGGTACGGCGGCCGTGTTATCGGCGGATGGGTTCTCCCCGGAAGGCTATCTCGATTCCTCCCCGGTGTTCAGCACGGGCAACCCTCACAATCTCCCAGGAGATGTCAACAACGGGGAAGGTATATTAGCGGACTCCCAACCCGAGGGCCCGGTTAATCCACTGCCCGGAGGGGATTTACTCGTTGGAGACGCCACCACGGAGGGGGGTGTTTTGGAAAGTAAGGTCGTGGAAACGGCGCCGGTGATTTCACCTATTCTTCCGAACACCGACTACAACTCGGTGCTCCATCGTCAAGGGCTGCACGATGTGAACGGACCGGGTGGGGTGGTGGTGTTGGAATTTGCCAAAGGAAGTGCCGCCCTGATGGCAGCAAGGTTACTGAACGGCGCATCTATCAATGGCCGCCGCATCACGGCTTCCTTACATTAGGTTTTAGAAAAAAAAAGAAGTATTCGCAACCAAGGACAAAATGCGATTTGGCTCGTCTTTCGAGGAAGATATAATAATAATAAACTGCACACATTTAAAAACTGAGTGATATCCTTTTACTTATTGGTCCCTCATTGCACAGTGCACATCCTTTTTCCCTCCTTCCTGAACTGTTTCTCTTGTCTTCAAATATGAAACTTCCAGTAAAAGTACCAAGTCTCGGAGTTTTTTTTTACTCCGCCTAGAATTGACCGACTTGAGATCAAAAAGAGACGCTCTATCTCTTTAGAGGGAGTCAGAAGGAACCCAATCCACACAGTCTCTGGTGGTGGTGGTTGGCATTTATTGTCTTTTATCATTTCTTTTATTTTCTTTTTGTCTGCTCGTTATTCCCCTTTTCGGGTGGTGGTGGGGGCGCGATGTCATCCTTTCCGGTTTTACCGGAAACCTCGTTCCAGATCATGCATCCGATCAACATTATGTATGTCGTCTCCTCCGTTGTTATTTACACACTCCGCTCTTTCAGCCCTGCAACGCTTGTGGTAAGACGAGTCCATCGCCACCGCCACGCGCACACGTCGGCGCCGGACCATCCACACAGGCCCCTCAACGAATCCTCCACCCGGAAGGAGAACAACGATAGTGAAACCTCCCGAGTTCTAAGCGAAGGGAGTGGAGGGGAGCATCGGCATCACCGCCATCGACTTCTTCCGCCGGTCAAAAAAAGCCCCTCCCCTGCGGAGGATCCCGCCACCGAAGCGGCGTCGGCGATCACGCGTTACCCCCACCGTCGCCATCATCGAAGTCGAAGCGATAGCGGAAGTCGGGCCGCCACCCCGGCGATCTCCGTGATTTCCTCGGAGGAGGCCGCCCCCATCTCGCGATCGCGTCCACGGCGAGGGCGGACCGTCCCCCCTCCTTCGCCTGCTTCCGGATCCGGAGGGGTCGTGCGTCCTCCCGCGCCCCGATCCCGCAGCGCGGAAGAGCCTTCGAGACGCTCGGATTCCACCACGCGGAGGAGTTCCCATCGGAGTCGATCGGAACCCTCCAGTCGCCCGGAGAGCCCGAGCCACCGAGGCCATCGACGATCGAGCCGAGAGGGCCAGGAAAGTCGAGAACGCGGTGGGGATTCGAAATCGCATTTGGAGCCTCGTCGAGGTCGTCATTGCTCGTCATCCCCCTCCATCGCTCCCAACCTCGCCCCCACCTCCTGGACGCTTTCGGGTAATCATAGCTTTGCGAGCAGCCATCGAGGGGAAGGGAATGGACTTTCCTCGGTGCTTGCCGTCGGCTCCTTATTGATGCCCCCACCGATGATCGGGAAACCCCCGTTGAGTGGACGTCGTCGGGGTTCGCTCGCGCGTTTGGATACCTCCCTCGCCTCCTCAACGGCCTCGCGTGGGCGACGCCTCCATACACGACGAGAACCCCCCGAGGAGGAGACGCCCTCGCACGCGGAAAGAAGAAAACACGAATCCTCGCATGCGGAAACGAAACCCGACGCCTCCTTACCTCGTCGAAGTAGCTCCAAAAGGAGGGGCCCGTTACGGCAATTCAAACGGCTGTGGGAGCGGCTCGCGCGGGTGGATGTTACGCAGCCGGCGTACCTCCTCGCTCACGTCCTCCGCGCCGTTCCGGTTTCCTGCATCCACCATTGGTGCGCCCTCAGGCAGAAACTCGCGGCGCTTCGTCTGATGAACTTCCGGGATAACGGGCGAGGAATGGAAAAAATGCTGATTCCCCCCACCCCCCCTCCGGCATCCTTCACAGCAGGAGAAAACGGAAAAGGGATTCCCTCACCTCCCTTCTACGGGTCCTCGTTGTTGCTTCAGTTTCACGTCCTTCGGGTGATGATGCAGATGATCGACGACTACCTCGAAGGGGTTCTCTTTCTGGATAAATCGCTCGTCGTGCGAAACCTGCGGAGTCGCCGGATAACGCGTCAGATCGTGGGTTGGGGGTTACGCCTGACCTCACGGACGATTTTGGATACCATTTTACTCAGCATCGTCACCCCCATCCTGCTCGCGAGTGCCGATCACTTTCCGAATACGTTTTCGAATATCCGCGTTACCCCTTCTGGGATCTTGCGGGGGTTGGGTTGTGGGGCCGCAGGGGTATTGTTGCAAGGGGTGGTGATCCCGATCGTCAGCCAACTCGTGAATCGCGGCGTCGTAACGGTGTTTGAAGGGGTGGAATATGTTCTCCTCCGGCGATACGCCACCTTCTCGCCAGACGACGACGACGACGACGACGAGGACGAAAATGAAGAAGAAGGAGAAGGCGAAGGAGAAGGAGAGGAAGGGGATGCGGTAAGTAGTCAAGCGGGCTCCCTGCGATCCCACCCCCTTGAGTCCGACGCCGAAGGGGTGGAATCGAAGCGGCCGGCCGCTTCGTTCCCTCCCACCTCCTCCTCTCACGCCGAACCCGACGAGGTGGGGGCGAGGCAATTACGTCGGAAACTTCGCCGCGAGGCGCGGGAATTTCGTCGGCAACGACGGGCGCGGATCGCGCGACGGGAGGCCGCGGCGCGGCAGGCCGTTCTCCGCGCGATTCTCTACCGCGTCTCGGCGGCCCTCGTCGCGCAGTGCGCGGTGGAGCATCCGTTGAACGTCCTCGTGGAGCTTCTACGCGGTCGCGCGATGATGCATGGGGGGGGTCTGCTCCGTTGCTACGACGAGACCACGGGCGAGGACGCGATGGGTTGGGTGGGGTTGAAGCGCTTCGCGTGGAAACTTTTTTGCCCGGCGGCGCGAGGCGAGGGGGATGGGATTCCGCATGGGGTGTGGCTGCTTCGCCAGCTCGGGGCCGCCATCGGGGAGGAGATTCAGGTGTTGACGGCGTGCATCCAAACCGCCTCGGGGCAGTCGGAGGCGATTTATCGATTGAAGCGATACGCGATCGATACAATCCGCGCAGGTGGACGACCCTCGGCGTGGGAGAGTGCGGAGTTAATGGTGCGCTGCGCGCTCTCTTTTGGACCCCTTTATTATGATACGCAGCTGACGGCGCTGGATAAGCTCTTGGGGTTTTACATGGCGATCTGGACGCGTTTGACAAAAATGTAGAAATGGGGAAGCATCCCTTGGGATCGCGAGAAGGGGGGCTTGTTATTTGCATGTGAGAGTCGAGACTGGAGATGGTATTATGATGTGTTGCCATTGCCCATTTCGCATTCTGATGACCATATGGTATACATTCATACAACTAGAATTTTACATCAACACATGTGTGTGTGTGTATATGAATATATATATATATATATATATATCGTAAATAAATAAGGGTGATGGTATTAGCCCTTTATTTTATTGCAATCTTTACTGTTTTGTGTTAAGCATAAAACTCCATAGATTACTTTCTCTTAGATACCTTCATCACGGATGGGTTAATAACGGAAAAGAAAGGAGTTGGTGCCCGTAGAATGAATACAATATGAAAAGTATAGTAGAAAAATAACTATAAAGAATTGTATGAGGCGCAACCACTTCGCACAAGACATTCTAAGAAAATAATAATGATGATGAGATATTGTTATACTGCTTATTAGTTCAATTAGAACCCTTCCTGCAAAAAAAGGTGAAGAGTAGAATCGCTTTCTCTTTTCTTCCTTCTGAATCTTATGAATTTGTTTAATGAAAGAAAGCTCCTCGGACAATTTCTCTATTTAACTTTATCCCAATTATTGGTGCGTCATCTACGTACTTTCTGTTAGCTCTTTATTGTAGTTTCGAATGAACTCAGTGAGCACAACAAGGAAAGATAAATCAGGCCCCACAGCCGAAAGTAGTAAACCCAAGAATCTCTTTTCCTCTAGCTCCTCGGATGAAGATGAATTAGACCATGAGCTGGCATCGGCAGCCGCGCGAGAGAGGGCAAAGAATCCTCACGCGGAACAGGGACGTGCGCGGAAACCTCAGACAAACCTCACTGAGGCACGCACGAAGGGGTCGAAGGAAAAGTCTGAACTGGATACAAACTCCGATGATAGCGACGAAGATGTTGACGAGAAACAGAGGGAATGCACCGCACACCATCCATCTAAAGATAATTTGGGTAAAACAGCGACCGTAAATGATCGAGGGGATGGCAACGCCATCCGTATCAACAAGGAATACGCACGAAACTACGAGCAGGTCAAACGAAAGCAAGAACTCCAGCGACTTACAGAAAAGTACGGAGACCGGTTGGCGAGCTTGAAGGGCAACTCTCAAGACGCACAAGATAGCGACCCCGACGCTGAAAGCAGCGATCTCGATGAAGATGACAACGGCCTGCTGCTCACGGCGGAAAACGAGCTTGCCTTCGCGAAGTCCCTGCTGGCGATCCGTAAAGCCAATCTACGCAGCGGTGCGTCGAAAGACAAGAACGCGCCGAAGGCCGGAAACCAAAACGACTCCGCTGCGGATTCTAAACGGAATGAAGTAGACGCCGAGACCCAACGTGAAATGACGGGGCGGGATATTCTACGAGAATCGTTCTTTCCCATCCCTGAAGAACAGATCAAGCGAAACAACGAAATCTTACTTGCCAAACTGGAGGAGCGAAAAAAGCAGCGAAAGGCGAAATTCACCTTAGCGAATGAGTACCGTCGCGCCATTCATCTAACCGCGGAGGACGCCTCACAAGACAAGGACGTCGAAGATAACGGCAGTGGGCTGCGTAAGCTAAAGCCGCGCACGGCGGAGGAACGCGCCATACGGGATTCATTTCTCAAAAGCGTATCCGAAAGCACAGAAGCCTTCTCGGTGAATAAGGTCCCTAGTCGTAGTGAGAACAACGGCCGTCGCGACGAGAAAGACAAAGAAGAGCTTCTCATGCAAGAACGGAATAATTTGCTCGCTGAGGCCTTTGATCTGGTGGATGACAACAACGACATCACGGAAAGCAGTGAAGAAGAAGAAGAGATGGCGAACGGACATGACCGGGAGGACGACGACGACGCGCATAAAACCGAATCCGTGAAGTTACAAGGTGAAGGCAAAAAATCACAACTGCGAAAGAAAATCAGGGAGGAGAGATTCCTGAAGGAATTTTTCATCAAGGAGCTGTGGCGACTGGAGAACAACAATGACGGTGACAGTGAAGACGCAGAAAAGGGTGAAGGCAATAAAGGTCACTCCGCCGTGCTCGCAGAACTCGCGCAAGCAGAGGAGGATGAAAACTTCTACAACGAGGCTGAGCTGTGGGAACGGGAATACCAGACCGAAAAGTATCGCCATGAAGAAGACGGGGCATACATTGAGGCCTTTCCCCGGCCCATTGGGGAGGCTGCCCAGGGTCTGCTGCGTAAACCCAACACCTCACGAAAAGACGCGCGGCAGCGACGGAAAGAACGCATTGAGGCCGCTAAAGCCCAGCGCACTGAAGAACTCAAGCGCTTGAAGCATCTCAAGCGTCTGGAAATTGATGAGCGGCGCGCCCTCATTGCGGCTGTGGCTGGATTGACTTCAAAGAAACACCCGACGCCTCAAATAGAGGGAGAAGGCGATAGGAACCTTAGCTTTGCCGAGGGAAGTGACGAGGAAGAGGGCAAAACACTCCAAAAGCTCACGTCGATCTGGACGGACGAAGCCCTCAACGCACCGTTTGATCCCGCGGAGTTTGACAAAAAGATGCAACAGCTCTTTAGTGATGAGTACTACGAAGAACCGAACATGGAAGAAGAGATGGCGTACCTCGATGCTGAGCTTGACAATGAGGTGCCGTTGGACTTGAACGACGATACAGACGCGCCTCACAACGATGAAACTCCGGAAGGACCTTTGAAAGGGGGAACCGCGCCGGCCAAGCATCAGGAAGTGCTCCAAGATTTGTTTCGAGAACCCGACCTGTTCAATGTGGAATCGCTGGAGGAAGCGAAAAGGATCGTGCAGCAAAAAGGCGATCTCGAGGTATCGGACCTCAGACCAGATGAGCAGGACCCCCTTCTACGGGAACTTGGGGCTGTCGATACCGGGCCGGTAGACAAGGAAAGCGAGGATCTTCTGTATCCTTCCTCGCCCTCTCGACGACAGGTTGAGGGCTCAGGGCAAGAGGGGAGAAATAAAAAAGGAGCAACCCCAAAGGAGGTCAAGAATGAAAACGCCGAGGACGAGAATGAGGCACTTCTATCCCGTCTCAAACAAGAGTTGAGCCAGAAAGAGGAAGAGTATAACAAACTCCACTACGACTCCACGATTGCTGGTGGGGATGTGGAAACCCGTTTCCACTACCGTGAAGTCCCTGCAGAGGACTTTACGCTGTCAATTGAAGAGATTCTCTGCCGCGATGATCGCCAGCTCAACATGCTCGCCCCGATGAACTGTTACGCCGCCTACCTGGATAAGAAGAGCAACGAGCGCGACCGCCGCAAGATCGAGCGGAGGCGCCAAAAAGGGTTTCGGGAGATCGATCCCAATCGCACCTCCCGTCATTACGGTGATGTATCACGGACCATCGTGCTGGACCCAAACCTGAGCGAAGAGGAGGGTATGAAAGTCGCCGAGCAGCTGCGCAAACGTCTACGAGATGACGACGGTGGGCTTCCCGATGACGAAGGGCCGCGAGGGCGAGGGGGAAGAGGAGAACGGACGCCACCAGTTGGAAGGGCGGGTGGCCGGGGTCGTGGTGCGGGCGCCCCGAATCCAAACCATGGCGCCTCGAATTACCATGGTGGCAATCGAAAACCCAATAGCTACGATCGTGGAAGAGGAGGGAGGGGTCGCGGAGGGTTCGCCCCCCGCGGCCACAGCCAATTTCGAGGCTCCTCCTCAAGAGGTGGCCATAGGTAGCGATGGGTGGTGATAGCCACAGTCAAGACGAGGCGGAAGGGAAGGGGAGGAAAGAATGGGAAGAAATAATTTTGGGTTCCTCGACCTTTCCTTTTAATTTCCGACGACATTGCAGTTTTTTGAAGCTCAGATACGAGAGTAAAGATGGATAAGCTCTCTCCTCTCAACTCTACACATATATAGGAGGGGTACTGCATCTACTGAACTAAATATATCACGTTTAATTTGAGGTAACCTTAAACTTAATTCAAGCTATCATTTTTCCATTTTACAAACTCGAGAACATTTTGAAATGATTTATTGGGTTTAGAAAATACGTGAAGAATGGTTTGAAGGATGAGCTATCTTCCTTTATCTCGTCTCATCCACGTGAACTGTGGGCTATTGTCGTATTTTTAAGGTTTGCATATTATTAGAGTCACATCAAGTTTTCTATCACATTTAAACATTCTGAGTTATTTCAATTTTTTTGTTCCTATTTAGAAGATACTTTGCTGTCAGCTGATCAGCATTGCGAGTGAAATAGTTGTTTAGATTCAATTTTGTACTTCTTTAAAATACAGTAAAGCACACATAACGGGGAACTCGAAGTAACAAGTATATTATAGATCAATAGAATTTTTTGTTTTCCTGAACAGGCAATAAAGTGATAAAATAGACCATAAAGAGATTTGTACAATGTCGCGATTGAGTCTTACCACCGAGAAGGATCAAACCCCCCTAGAGGGTCACCACGTGGCGTGGGGTCGTGACCGCAAGAGCCACGAGCACGACGCCCGTAGTAGCCATGGCGATGCAACGGATCGCTCGAGCCGCGGAAGCCTGCTGGGGGGCGGGGGTAATGCGGGTGGCGCGCACTCCTTCGGGCTGACGGGCTCCTCCCTCTCCTCGCGGGGTTCCACCGTCCGCACGACGGTGGTCACCCCCATCCGGGCGCCCGGTGTGGAGCCCGCGGGGCGTGAGGGATACGCGAGTCCGGCGCGTTGCCTGTACGACGCCCTCACCCCTCAACCCTCCCCCCACCCCGGGCGGGATGTGGATCCGCGGCCTCACGGCATTCCCCCCCTCCCCTACCTCCTTCCCGACGACCAAACGCCGAGGACGAAAGGACGGGATGCCCCCGACGACGACGGGACCCCGCGGGGCGCGGTCGAGACGGAAATCGACGAGATCCGACATGTCGTCCTGACGAGCAACAAACGGCGGCGGATCAGCGCCGCCGGTCCGGAACCCCCTTGCCACCTCCTGGACGACCTCAAAGACGACGGACGTCCGAGGACGGAAGGGAGGTCCAGGCCCCCCCCCCGCCCGTCCCGCCCGGGGA